TAGTCCTGTTTTAGTCCTGGTTTAGTCCTGTTTAGTCCTGGTTCAGTCCTGTTTTAGTCCTGGTTTAGTCCTTGTTTAGTCTGGGTTTAGTCTTGGTTTAGTCTTGCTTTAGTCCTGGTTTTAGTTCTGGTTTTAGTCCTAATTTAGTCTGGGTTTAGTCCTGTTTTAGAGCTTGTTTAGACCTGGTTTAGTCCTGATTTAGTCCTGGTTTTAGTTCTGGTTTTAGTCCTAGTTTAGTCCAGGTTTAGTCCTGGTTTATCCCAAAATGAAACACTAAAACAGTAACTGTAGCTGAATACAGTTACTCTTGATTTGTACTCTGATTACTTAACTCCGGTACATGTAATCTGTTACTCCCCAACACTGACGGTGAGTAATGTCCAGAGAAAGCAGGTGTTGAGTTGAGTGAATGAGGTTTAAGAGGCGGAGAGTACAGGCCGGCGAGGTAAATTCTAGGGTGTGCTTGGTTTAAAAGCTGCAGTCTGTCATCGCAAAAGAGCCTCAAAGGTGTAATTTAAGTGCTAACCGCGAGCAACACCGCCGCCAGACAATAGACAGTGAGTGCTGCATACTTGGGTTCAGCTAATGTGGGAAAAGGTGGATTTATGCCGCAGTGTTAATGATGTCGTGGTGTCAGTACTTGTATTTGTAGAGTAAATTATTATTATAAATACTCCTGGTACTGTAATTGAGTAGATTGTGGGGGCAAATGTAGTTTTTTTTTTTTTGGTATAATTTAAACTTTTGCTGCTCTCTAAATCCCTAAAAACGCACTTTTACTCAACTACAATTTTGGTAGCAGTACTTGTACTTGTAATGGAGTATTTTAGTATTAATAGCCATGTAACTGTACTTTTACTGTAGTACAAACAGGGTGCAGTGGGCGTGGTACACAGGGGTACGCCGTCCACTTCTCCCGACATGAGATGTTGTTTGTTGTTGTTTGATAGCATTTATATAGCGCCTTTCAAGATACCCAAAGTGCTTTGCAGTTCATTATTCAGTCACTCCACACTCAGTGGTGGTAAACTACTACTGTAGCCACAGCTGCCCTGGGGCAGGCTGGCGGATGTATAAAAAAAATAACAAATGTAAAACTACAAGTTAAATGTCAAACTGGAGCTATTGGCAGTAATGAAAACAAACTGCATAGACTCATGAAATCTGCAGGGGTGTCCTATAGTGACCTGAGACATGAGGGACCAGGACTGAACCAGGACTGAACCAGGACTGGATCAGGGCTAAACCAGGACGGAGTGTTGGGTGACTGCAGGCAAAAGGACTAAGCTGCCGTGGCCCGATCAGGCTTTGCAGACACCCTGCTCCGCGGGCTCGGGGTTCTCTCTCTCTCTCAGTTCCAAGATTATTCCTGGTTGAGATCTGGTTTAGACCTGGTTTAGTCCTGGTCTAGTCTTGGTTTAGTCATGGTTCAGTCCTGGTTTAGTCCTGGTTCAGTCCTGGCTGAGTCTTGGTTTAGACCTGGTTTAGACCTGGTTTAGTCCTGGTTCAGTGCTAGTTTAGACCTGGATTAGTCCTGGTTCAGTGCTAGTTTAGACCTGGTTTAGTCCTGGTTTAGACCTGGTTCAGTCCTTGTTTAGTCCTGGTTTAGACCTGGATTAGTCCTGGTTTAGACGTGCTTGAGGGGGCACTAACCTCCCCTAGACTGGCCAATACACCCTCATAGCTCCTCCAGTGATATTTAACCCACTTTCATAGCACATCCAATTTTGACTAAAAATGGTCAAATGGCAACCAGAGTGTTCAAAAATCACAACAGGCCGCTGACTATACTTAAAACAGTGACTCAAACACGACAGGGGGTGGGGGGCACCCTCCTCTTTGCTCCCCCAAACAAAAATATCCGTCACCGCCCCTGGTTTTTGTCTCTTTCCAACACTGGATATTTAGTTTTAGTTTATATCAATGCAACACATGTAGAACGTAGCTTTGCAAAGCATAATTTACAATGTTTTGTTGGTTTAATTATGCAAATGGGGCTCGTAGTCGTCGCTCTCCTCGACTATCGATCAGTTTTGTTTGTACTGGTACAGACTGGAGGCTGTAGGTCACTTTTCTGCCGTACGCGCCGGTGTGCTGGGGCCAAAAACGCTGCTGTAAAAACAGGTGCGTGGTATTTTCTGTGGAGCGTCGTCCTGTACAACACTTTATCCTGTTTAAACACTGTGGCTGTGATGGTTGAGTGGCTCTCTCCGCCGTTAGCGTGTTAGCATTAGCTCTCGTGCCGCGGTGGTTGTGTTTGGCAGGTGGATCCGGGCCGGGTGCCTGCGTAAACGGGCCAGGCCGAGGGGCGAGGTCGGGCTACGGTTTCACTGTATCCCTGCCTGGGTGAAAGTAGATCCTTGAGCCAGAGTGTGAGAGGAACGCCCCGGTCTTTGTTCTGTTGGGCGTTCGGTGTTGTGCTCGTTTCACTTGTAAACTTCTGCTGTGCGCTGGTTTGACACGCTGTAAATTTGCAGATTTACCATATTTTCATACTATAGAGCGCTCTGGATTATAAGGTGCACTGTCATTGAACGGTCTATTTTCAAACTTTTTTCACAAATAAACCACCTGATTTTTAACGAAACACAACAGTTAGATAAGTCAGTCAAACTGTATTTAAGGCGTTCACAATAACTCTCAACTTTGTTCAATTGTAACAAGTAAAAAAAAACACTGTCTGAGACCCTAAATTGTTAGTGTATTTACAATAAGTCGTAATTGTTCAAACAGTTGGGCGATTACGGCGTCCAGCACGCCCACATCCCTCTCGTCATTATCCGAGTCAGTGTGGTTACTGTTCCCTGGCAGTTCAGTGATGATTCGGGTCTTGGTGAAAGCTCGGACCACAGTTGATACTGATCCTTTGCCCGGGCGTCCACGATCTGTCAGCAGATCGTGGCGTAAGTCGCTCGACGCTGTCTCTCTGTCTTGGTGAATGTGTGTTCTTCTTTCATCCACTGCTCCCACGCAGCTCACAATTTCACTTTATAACAGCCTTGAGTTTAAAGTTGGCGTTGTAAACGTGTCTCTTGACAGGTGCATTTTGATATTAAAAGGAATCACGGTATGTATTACTCCGCGATGCTCCTGACTACGGAAGCTGTAATGCTGCAAGTGGTGCGGCTTTGTAGTTTACTAAAGTCGTACTAAGACACCCCAATCATATATAAAGCGCTCTGGATTATAAGGCTCGCAGTTGCTTTTTGATGAAATTAAACGCTTTTAAGTGCGCCCTATAGTGCGGAAAATACGGAAATAAGGGTTAATACCACATAGTTATAATTCTTCTATACAGACTATTCCAAGTCTTTCCTCACTCTGAGCTGAGTTTAGCACATCAATCTGGATCCACTCACACGATCAGGAATGTCACGGAATGTCATGGTGAATACTTGAATCTTAGCAGAACAAGAGGAGAAATCTAACTTTTTTATATTCAAATGCAGAAAAGCTCAGACCTCTTTCCTGTCCACAAACACACAAATCGCTTCTGCACATTTTTCAAAAACAAAAGATGGATTCTCGTGAGTTTATGAACTCAGCGATTTACAGATGCACCAATCCAGGTGTTTCAATTCTAATACAGATGTTTATACTTTGGCTTGAAGTGTCTGAAGTATCTGCTGATACCTGATATCAGTGATACCAGGGCAGAGAGTGAAAATAGGATTTATTTCCTTTAAACACAAACAAATATTTTGAGATGTTTTGGGTCAGTAAATATTATTACACCAGTATATTGACCAAAATAGGAACTTGGCTGAACCGATCTCAGAAGCTGATATCTAAGGTTACCAACCAACCCTTGAAAAACCAAATCGTCCTGTATTCAGAAACAAAAATACGCGTCCCGTATTGAGCTGAAACGGGACGCACTTTGTCCTATATTACCATGAGAATCAAAGTAGTGTGTAGTTAATGAAATGGCACTTTTTAAGAAAGTTTACAGTAAACGGCTGTGGGGATTGGACTCCGAGCTCCACCTGGCCACAGGCTCCGAGCTCCGGTCTCTTTCTTCTCCTTCTTTCAGACGTCCCTGAGGTGTCCAGGTAGAGGCACCAATTTACCCAGATACCACTCGAAGAAAAATTGTGATTGGTCCATTTCATTCCATTATATTAACCCTTTGTTTCCCAAGAAATATTAGTCCAAGTTTATAACAATGATCTAGAAATTATTACTAGTGTTGTGTTTATTACTCACTGCATAAAAAATATTAAAACATATATTAGTAGTACAAAAATGTATTCTATATTTTTTGTGGGCCTTCACTGAACACCTTGAAAACTAAGGGTTCCCCTCTGTAACAAAGCAGCATGGACGACAGTGGCGCCGACTTTATGGTGTTTGAAATGGGATGCCCCGTCGAAATGAGCTACCTGCAGCCTAACGTAGGTATTCTGCCGCAAATCTAACACGCACATGTCCATGCTTACATGCTTACAAAACATACAACAAAACCAAAACACTTTTAAAACGTGACTTGTTACTCCACTTCTGCCTCCGGAGCTCAAATCAACAGCATTTAAACTGGAAGAGCACTTGGGGGGGTGCGAGTGCGCAGTAGCACTATGTAGCTCAAATCGACAGGACACCGGCCCTGCCAATGACGTGTACCTTATTTATTTTTCAGGGAGTTGGCAACCCCACCGATATCTGACCCACCAAAATGATCACTATCGCTCCAATATCCGATACCAGTGTTGCATCGCTGCATCTCTACTCATGATATTGTGAGAATTCATCTTTAAGGCCAAGTTGCATAAATACTGCAAACTTTACATCTTTATAATCTCTCTCTCGTCTTCTTTTCTCTTCATTATGATCACAGTTGTCAAAGTGAACTCGTGCAGTGATTCTGTATCTTTAAACCTATCCTACCTTGACTTACAGAAAAGCAGCTGTGACAAAAATAATAAAAACCCAGAGACAGTGGGTCCATAGGAAAAACATTTTATTGAAAAACATTTTTCAGTTTGTAACAGACTGGTGGAATGTGTGTCACTTTAGTTGAAACGAGCTGAATGACCAAACCATGTTCATGGTGTACAGCGGAGGGATGAGTGAAGGGGCGGGGCTACAGTCACCCGGCAACCAGAGCGGACCAATCAGAAAAAAAGAAAAACCCAAATGGACAAACAATGCAATTATAATACTGTGTTACTTACAAACTGGACTGAAATTAAAATAATGAATATAACAAACAAAAAGAAACTAATTTAATAAATATTTATGGTACACACTTATGGCACAAATATGCAGCAGTCGGCTTGGCAACTTTTCTCTCCATTTTTTAAACCAAATTACCATGGAAACAGTGCAAAAGGAAGGGGGCGTGGGAGGACACAAGCTTTCCATCGAGCGCTAGCTAAAATACATAGCAAAAAATTCAAATTTATACAAAACATCTTACCTTTAAGAGTTTATAAAAATGTTTTATTGGGTTCTGGTCAATATTTACATAAGCTATTTACCAAAAAAGTAGTTTATGCTCTGCTTTGAAGTGTAGTACTCCATTTTTCAGATTTTTTTGTTCAGCTTTCCTAAAAAGGTGAATAAGGCTATTGTAACAACCCAGGATCCATATACAATACAAACATTAATGTATTTACAGTCTCTTACCTACAGAAGTACGGTGCAAAATTACTGAGTCAAGTGACGAGGGCTGACCATACGAACAAGGCATTTTACCGAGGCCTGGGGTGCTTCTCCTAGCGCCGAGATTACACCCGCACGCCGCACTCTAAAAGTCGGTGGACGCAGCGGAAAGTGAAGCCAAAAGTCACACGTTTATCTTATCTTGGTGACGTTTTATGGTCCAGGTTACGTTAAAAGATTCTCGGCTGCCATCGCGAACCAGTCGCTTTAAAATTTCGCTTCGATTTTCAAGCCAGAGGTCGTTTTTGTCGTAACCGCATGCAGATTTGTTGATGGGGATGTAGCGTCTGATGCGGAATTCACCTCCAACGTGATTTACACTCAAAAAAATAAAATCATGCAGCTTCGACTCAAAACGTGCAGCTTCGTCTAAACGTTTCGCTGCGTCCACCGTCGTACAGCTGTCGGCGTCGCGGGGCGAGCTGACCAGCGGCTAAGAAAAGGACGCCAGATTCAAAGAAACTAATAAGATTGTCATATTCTGCCGCAGCAACTAAACAGCCATTTTGTTTTTTACCTTTTCAAAACCTGTTCACTTTTTCACAGTTTGAACTACGGCACGTTTTCCCAACAGAAGTACAGAAACCAAAACCAAGAAAAGAGTTAAATAAAACGACAAGACTGTGGCGTTCTTTGCTAGCTGTGTGAAGTTGTTACATCTTTCAGTGGTTAAGAACACTTTTCCATAGGTGTTTTTTTCTTAGAATTGATTACAAAAATAAATAAGAATTGCATATTTGCAGATTTTGTAACCTCTTAGAGGCACAAACCTCAGATCATACAAGGCTTGGCTTTTCGGTGATGCTCTTTATGAAGTAGATCTATGAGTAGGCGATTTCTGCTCGGGGCGCGGTGCAGGGACCCAAGCCGAAACGATGGGGGCGGAGACATGCACATATGAGTGAGGATGAGGAGAGGGGCATGATGGGAAATCCTTTGGGAGATGCTACACTGAGTGGGAGCGACCCTGCCCCAAGAAAAGAGTCCCGACTACTTCAGAGGGCTCAGTGGTGAAGAGATCAAATCGTCCAAGTTTGCATAATGTGCACTTATAATATAATATCCTTATTTCCTCCTCCACGCTGCCTGTGCTCTATGTGTCTATCATAAATAGAATCTGCTTGTTTTTTAGTATTTTTTTTTTCATCTTTGTAATGTTTTAAATGTACAACTATAAAAACGTAAAAGTCACAAATGGAGAAACGGTGAGGGGTGCGGTGCGGGCGGTGACATGTCCCTGTGCTTATTTCTTACAGAGCAGGAGGACACCAGTGTGAGGGGCCCCCGGGAGCCCTTTTTTCATCCCGTGTGGGGAGCAGTACCTCGGCTGGTTCTTCATCGCTTCATCACAAGAGAGTGCATGAGCAAAACTTCATGAATCCACACTGTATCACTGTAACTTCAAAACTATAAAATTACTCCATTGGTTTAAAAACACCCACATGTTGATCTAATCTGTGCTGATTGAAAATCTAATGTGTCAAAATAAGATTAGAACAATAAAAAGCTGTAGAAAGCAAGCTAAATTAATAAATGTTACAGATTAATTTGGAAACTCAAGATAGAATAGTTTTTGAAGCTCTAGGAAAACTCAATAAGGCAACATTTTACAATATATTTTTACGATAATGCGTCTATAATTGCAAGTTCTTATACATTTTTATTGTCTTTTTTTTTAATAATTTAATTTCAAAGCTAGTATTTGATTATCTACCAACAAATAATTTAAAAACAGAGTTAATAGTCTACACCAAAATGTTGATTTGATCGTGGTAAAACTAGCATTGTGAAATTACCGTATTTTTCGGACAAGAAGTCGCACTTTTTTCATGGTTTGGGTGTTTCCTGCGACTTATACTCCGGTGTGACTTATATATTAAAATTTTTCTGACTGACAGCCGCGAGAGGGTGCTCTGTATTGTGCTCCTGTACTACTGTCACTTCGCTCTACTGCGCATGTCTCCTGTAGAAAAAGCCGCTGTCCTGCTGCAAATGGTGAAATATTCAGCCGAAAACGGTAATCGAGCAGCAGAAAGAAAGTTTGGAGTGAGCGAGAAACTTGTGAGGGACTGACTGGAAGCGGGGATGGAGAACACAGTTTTACGCAACTTTCCTGGAAGTCACTGGATGGATGGACAAAGCCTGAACTTCAGTGACACAGAAGAGGAAGTGGCACTTTGTTTGGATCTATGATTCATCTACAGAGGTCGCGCAGAAGTGACACCGAGGATCAAGAATTCATTGGATTTAGTGATTTGGAGTGAGATCGTGAGTTTGGTAAACTTATGTTCTGTTGTTTATGCTATAATTATCTGAAGAACTGTTCATATTTTACATTAACATTTTAACGTCTATTCAGCCTGTTGTTCTCTGTTCTATTGTTTTTACTATAACTTGCCTTTCCAGATAAAATGTTGGTTCCTGGTCTCTGATTTTACAAAATGCATTTCCCCAAAAAGTGCGACTTATATATGTTTTTTTCCCTCTTCATTGCGCATTTTTTGGCTGATGCGACTTATAGTCCGGAAAATACGGTAATAAAAAGTGCGACTCCAGGACATAGTTTCGAGCATTGACTTAAAATAGCAATAATTTATTTAAAAATGTGAAAAAACGTCAAAATACAAATTATTACAAAATTTATCCGCAGATCATTTCAAAATCTGGGTGTCTTTACACAATAGAGTAAACATTAGTTACAATGTGGAGCTGTTACATAATACAGTGTTTTTATTTTATTTATTTTACATGCGTTGGTACTCCTCAGTAAGGCGAAATGACTTTTTGTCCCAGAACGTCGCCCCGTCGGGGAGTTTGACCCAGCCGGCTTTCCGTAGAGAGTGGGGGTACCGAAAAAGGGATTCAAAGTGCTGCTCTATGTTTAGTTCTAACCCCCGACTCGTCCTCGAAACCGCCTGGGCCGACCCTGACCTGCTTTCTTCCTCCGCCTCGTCCCCTCGTCCTAGCCACTGTTGGGTCATTTGTAGTTTTCTTAATGATATGACATAAAGGAAAACAAAATCAAAAAGTTGAACTACCGTGGAATATGGAAAGAGGAAAAAAAACAAACGACAAAATTAGTAAAATCCTGCTGCTAGAAAGTACAAAAGAGAGGGTTCTCAAAGTCCATGAACTTTCAAGTAACTTTTGGGAACAGATGCGTGGGAATGAGACGGTGAACTCCACGTTGAGATGCTGTTTATGAGTTTTTAAGGTGAGCGAATGGGTGGGCGAAGTGAATGGGTGAGTCAGTAAGGAAAGTCCCAGAGAGGATGGGGTGCGTGGGGTTCTCCTCTCCTCCGTTTTTAGCGAGAAAAATCCACAAAGTCTCTGGCTAGTGGGCTTTTTCGAAAGTAAGGAGGGCGGTCCATCCTCCTGTTTTTTTTTTTTTGCCAACCTCCTCCTCGATCCGTTTTGAGTCCCTTTTCCAAACAGTAGTCTCTCCGAAAACGTTCCAAACATTCTATAAAAATCCCGTTCCGTGTGTCCATCTACGCCACTTCCTGATAAAGCTCCTCCAAAATCGGCAGCCGCGGCGCACTAAAACCAAAAACGGGCTCGCGGTATGGGAAAAGAACATCAATCCCTGTCCTGCAATTCCCAAAAGCCCTACAGAGCAGCGTCGGAGGCGGCCTCAGCGACCGCCTTTTCGGACCTCGCCGAGACCAAATTTTGACGAGAAGAAGAGAAACATCAGGAGGAGAGGAGGAGGAGGAGTCGACTGAAGCTTTTCTTTTTTTCCCCCGTTTCGAGTTCTCGCTTCAGACTTTGTAGTAGATGTTCGCTGGGCTCTGCGGGGGCATCTCTTGGACTATGTAGACCGGATGCCCGTAATCCCCGCTGACCTTCTCGTAGTGCGGGCAGAACACGCTATCGGCAGTCCTGAGCGGTATGATGATGTCGCTGGGCTCCGAGCCGTTGTTGTTGCCGCCGCCGCGTTTGGGCGTGGGCAGGTTGCTGAGGGAGACGGTGGTGCCGTGCTGCGGCGAGTGCTTCCGGTGCCGCCGCCGGTACTTGAGCAGCAGCAGGACCAGCATGATGATGATGATGATGAAGATGACGCTGCCCGAGGCGATGCTGACCACGATGGCCACCTCCGAGCCCATGGTGCCGGACGATTTGCCGCCTGTCTCCACGTCACTCTCATGCGGTGCGGAATCTGGGGAACAAAGAGCGGTGAAACGTTAGAATACTGGTTTAGATCGTTCAATGTAAACCAACAGGTAAGAAAATGCCAGAAAATTAAAGGTGCACTGTAGTATTGTAATGAAGACCGCACTAATCGAGACCAAGACGTGTCCGCGACCACAGGGTCCCGAGGCCGAGACAAGACCAAGACTTTTTAAGGCTGAGACCGAGACAAGACCGACACCACCACGGCCCATCAAGATCAAATCGAGACCAAATCGAGACCATCTTTGTAATTTTTGACATTTATTCGTATTTTACAGTTATTTTGGCACATGCGTATCAATGTTTTTATAAATCTGTCTCCATTTTATCACTCGTCAGACCTCGAAACCGAGACGAGACCGAGTCCAAGCACCTTCAAAACCGAGACAAGACCGAGTCCAAACACGGTTGAGTTCAAGACGAGACCAAGACCTCAAAAAAACAGTCTCAAGGCCAGTCTCAAGACCAAGACCTATCTCGAATACTACGACTAGTGGACTGTGTAACTTTTCCGTGTAGATTTTAATGCTTTGCCTTGGATATTCCACTGTGTGGCATTAAACAAATTATCTCTCCAAAGAGGCAAGCGAATTTACAGGTCATATCTGAGGAAAAGTGACCCCGCTAACAAAAGGGCTATATGTTTGAGCACTACAAACCCCTATAATAAAAGGAATTCATGTTAGATAAGTTTAATACCACTCATGGAAACACTCCAGACAGTGAAATAACATCTTCATGGTAGCGGACCTCCAGAAAAGTTACACAGTGCACCTTTAACTCACGCAACAGTCCCAGAACATTGCTTCTCTGTTCACATTTAACCTAGAATTTGTCTCTTTGCACTTTCTCACACTGTATAATACTTCTTTGAATATTCCTGGAAATTTACCACATAAAAATGACACGGAAATCACTTTGGGCTTCATTCACACCTAACCCTTTTCTGGCAAAATGCAGGTAAATTATCAGGTCAGAGGGCGTGTGTACCTTCTACTTTCTTCACCACCACCAGCCGCTTGATCTCAAACGAAGATATTTTCACAAACAAACTCAGAATTCCCTTCGTTTTGAACCTGTATCCAGTCGCCAAAAGTTTACTCATTACTGGTCGACTGGTTTCACTTTATCAACACAACCAGACAAGGAGTAGAGAGTAAATAGTGAGATGTTTACGGTAACGGGGGTGGGAAAAAAAAAGAAAAAAGACACACGACTACTGAAAGAAGTGACGGAGTGAGATGTGACCGGGGTTTGTAATGCGGCGGGTGAATGAGCGGAGAAGAGGCACCCTTTTCCTTATTGGCTGGCGGTAAAAAAAGCAAAGGTGCATTGAACTGTGAGGAGCGCCAGAGTGAGACCTCCCCATTCAGAGCCGGTCTATAAAAGGTCAGGTTCGATCGGAGTCTATTCACATGCAGCCCGCGCCGAGAATCACCTTGACAAGGGCGATAGACAAAATGGCTTCTACTTGAATGAGACTTTTGAATGATTGAAAATAGAACTTCGGAGATTGTAATTAGGAACGCCGCGGAGAATGGATATTGTAGTCATATTTCTTTCTTTTTTTTTTTTTTTTTGTAATGTTTTTTTGCGATAAGAATGAAATTTTGACATTGTAAAAAGGTGTGGGAAGATGATTGAAAAGCAGATCATGAATGCTGTTTTGAAGATATGCAAAATTTTTATATTGTTTATACAAAAAAATGAAAATTGGAAACTGAAAATGGGATAAAGTTGTTGTAAACTTCCGAATAATGTGACATTTCTGTACATAATAATCCGTGTATCATTTGTTCATTCGTTTTTCAAAGTAAAACCAAAAATAAGAAAACGAAAAAACAACTATTTTCTTCATTATTTGTCTCCAAAACCAACTAAACCAGGACTAAACCGTTTTCAGCCCTGGTCTGGTGCCCAGTCTCAGTCCTGGTCCCAGTCCTGGTCTGGTCCCTGTCTGATCCCGGTCTCAATCACGGTCCGGTTCTGGTCTGATCCCGGCCTCCATCTTGGTATGGTCCTGGTCTGGTCCCGGTCTCAGTCCCGATCACAAAACAGTGTACGCGGGTGCACATCCCAACACTTAGTTCTGGTTTAGTCCTGTTTTAGTTCTATTTCAGTCCTGGTTCAGTCCTCTTTTAGTCCTGGTTCAATTGTGGTATAGTCTTGGGTTAGTCCTGGTTTAGTCCTTTATTAGTCCTGGTTTAGTCCTGTTTTCGTTCTGGTTCAGTCCTGGTTCAGTCCTGGTTTAGACCTGTTTTAGTCCTAATTTAGTCCTGGTTTAGTCCTGTTTCAGTCCTGTTTTAGTCCTGTTTTAGTCCTGGTTCAGTCTGACATCACAGTTTAAGTCACAGAACCAGGAAACATCTGTTATCCGTATTTTTCCCATTATTAATTTTAACACATAATCAAAAAATGAAAAAATGAATCATTATCCATTTTTTAATTTTGGTTTTGGAGACAAATAATGAAGAAAATTGTTGGTTTTATACAGAAAAACGAATCAATGAATGATACATGGACTCATAATATTATCTGAATATTTTACAAAAACACAGACAAGATATTAATTTTGGTCAATTAATTAAGCGGATTAATAAAAAATAGACGGGTTTGGCACGAGTTACGGCGGTGAATCTGACAGAAGGTATGTTTTGACCGGATTACAAGAGCAGCGAGATGGCAGGGCGCCGAAAATGGAAAACTATTTTGGTTGTTTACAAGGGGATTATGCAGCCTCAGACTCGGACCCCATATGCTCTCGCTACGGGCCCAAAATGAAGCCACAAATTGGGGGATAAAGATTAAATGAGAAAAAAGATCTGGACCAATCAAAACCTTGTCGCCGGGCAGATTAGAAAGAGTCAAATGAGCGACGTAAATTGGGACATTATCACTTTAAAACACGGTGAAATGCTTATTATTTTTTCTTCCACAGACTAGTTGGGGGTCCGTTATGCGCTTGTTTCTATGGATACGTAATTGCTCTGTCTGGAATGTTCCACAGTATGACTTTAAACAGCTCTACCTAATTATTTTAGGTAGTTTTATCGGTCGAAAATACCTACACAAAAGTTAAAACTTTCCAGAAAGATCAACAACATCTTCATGGAGAAAAGCATTTAACGGACCCTTCACCAGAAAAGTTACACAATGCATCTTTAAATGTAAAATTACTGTACCTAAACATGAAATTTCTTGTCGCGACCAATTGGGGGATAAAGATTAAATGAGAAAAAAGATCTGGACCAATCAAAACCTTGTCGCCGGGCAGATTAGAAAGAGTCAAATGAGCGACGTAAATTGGGACATTATCACTTTAAAACACGGTGAAATGCTTATTATTTTTTATTCTTTTGTGCTCACAGTCTCGTTGGGGGTCCGTTACTTGCTTGTTTCTACGGATACGTAATTGCTCTGTCTGAAATGTTCCACAGTATGACTTTAAACAGCTCTACCTAATTATTTTAGGTAGTTTTATCGGTCGAAAATACCTACACAAAAGTTAAAACTTTCCAGAAAGATCAACAACATCTTCATGGAGAAAAGCATTTAACGGACCCTTCACCAGAAAAGTTACACAATGCATCTTTAAATGTAAAATTACTGTACCTAAACCTGAAATTTCTTGTCGCGACCAATTGGGGGATAAAGATTAAATGAGAAAAAAGATCTGGACCAATCAAAACCTTGTCGCCGGGCAGATTAGAAAGAGTCAAATGAGCGACGTAAATTGGGACATTATCACTTTTAAAACACGGTGAAATGCTTATTATTTTTTCTTCTTTCATGCTCACAGACTAGTTGGGGGTCCGTTATGCGCTTGTTTCTATGGATACGTAATTGCTCTGTCTAGAATGTTCCACAGTATGACTTTAAACAGCTCTACCTTATAGTTATTCAATTAATTATCACTCAAAAATACCTATACAAAAGTTTAAACATTTCAGACAAATCAACAACATCTTCGTGGAGAAAAGCATTTGACGGACCCTCCACTAGAAAAGTTACACAATGCATCTTTAAATGTAAAACTACCTAAACCTGAAGTTTCTTGTCATGACCAATGCACGTTGTTGTGTTTTCGAGTACAGAAAATTGTGGAAAATGTTAACATTTTAACTCGTAATGACTGTAATGACGCACTATTTAAAAACCCACTACATTTTAAACTTTTCCTACTTGTCAACGTCTTTTTCGTTCAACGGTTTTCCATAAAAACGTGGGAACCGGTCACCGCTTTACTCAGGTCTGTGTGGTTAAGTTTATGGTGGTACAACTGTTTTTTCACTTGAATTTTAATCTAAAGTAATTTGTGGAGTATGTATTTAGTCAATCCGTGTGTCATTCGTTCATTTGTTTTTCAATATAAAACCGAAAATAAGAAAATGAAAAAACAACTATTTTCTTCATTATTTGTCTCCAAAACCAAAATGAAAAAAAAAAAAACGGACAATGATTCTTTTTTTTCAGTTTTTGATTTTGTGATTTTGAACTGTGATGCCAGACTTTTGCGCCGCATACGGACTGAACCAGGACTAAATCGTTTTCAGTCCTGGTCTGGTCTCAGTTTAAGTCCTGGTCTGGTCCAGATCTCAATCCTGGTCTGAGTCCTGGTCTCAGTCTCGGACCTGGTTTACTCCTGGTTTAGTCCTGGTTCAGATCTTGCAGACTTTTGCTCCACATACGGACTGAACCAGGACTGAACCAGGTCCGGGACCAGACCAGAACCAGACCGTGACTGAGACCAGGACTTAGACCGGGACCAGGACCAGGACTGAGACCGGGACTAAGATTGGGAACAGGACTAGGACTGAAACCGGGACCAGACCTGGACTGAGACCGGGACTGAGATTGGGAACAGGACTAGGACTGAAACCGGGACTGAGACCGGGACTGATGCTGGGACCATTCCAAGACCAGACCGTGATTGCGACCAGGACTGAGACCGGGACCAGACCGGGACTGAGACTGAGATCAGACCGTGACTGAGGCCAGGACATAGATCAGGACTGAGACCGGGAACAGGACTAGGACTGAGACTGGGACCAGACTAGGACTGAGACTGGGAGTGAGATCGGGACCAGACCAGGACTGAAAACAGTTTAGTCCTGGTTTAGCCCTGGTTCAGTCCGGCATCACAGTTTAAGTCACAGAAACGGGAAATGGCCATTATCCATTTTTTCCATTATTCATTTAAACACAAAATTGAAAAATGAAAAAAATGAACCATCTGTTTTTTTGTTTTTCTATTTTTGGTTTTATTTTGAAAAACGAATGAACGAACGATACAGGGATTGTAGTCATTTATAAGTCTAATTTTGTTATGCTGTAAGTAAATATAGTCCAGTTATTTATCTTTTTTGGTCGAGGGAAACCACTACTCACTTCTCCCCGGTGCCAAATTAGAAACCGGGAATCTAAAATCCGAGATAAGACCCTGTGTATCGTGGGTGGGTTGTGATTCTAGTGGAGGGGAGTCAGAACAAGTGGCTTTCTGTCCTGAGAGCGGCTCGTTAAAGAAAGATGGCGGACAGCGATCGGATCATTTTCCTGAAAATGTCACTTAAAGCGCCGCGTCGGGCCTGGAGCCGAGCCAGCGTCCTTGAGCTGAGCTGGAGATGCCTATCAGTTTTATGGGCAACATTCAATTACCTCCTTGATGAATCATGGACTCGCTGGCGATCCTGAATATTACACCTTACTGTTTTTTTATCTGGCTTTTTTTCAGTTTGAAAATTGTGAAAATGTTTTTAATATTAACTGCATTCTATATATAATTTTTTTGTATTATCATTTTTTTTTCCAACCTCTGTTATGTTTACCAATAAATGTGATCAAATCGAACCACATAATTTGTTTATTAAAGAGTATATAAAGAGTATTATTGTGGAAAATCTGACATTATATATTCTTTTTAGACATTTTGGTTTAATAATAGGACTGTTGTTGTTTTAACAGGTGTTTTAGCGTGTGTTTTAAAGTTTAAATATGACTAAAAGACGGTTACTTATTTTTTAAATTTTTAATTTTTTTCTTCAAAAGTTTAAATACGACTAAATACGAGTACTATTTTATTTATTTATTTATTTTTTTCTTCAAAAGATTAAATATGACTAAAATATGGTTACTTATTTATTTTTTTTCTTTATTTTTTTTCTTCAAAAGTTTAAATATGACTAAAATACGATTACATATTTATTTATTTTTATTTTTTTTTCTTCAAAAGATTAAATATGACTAAAATACAGTTACTTATTTATTTATTTTTATTTTTTTTCTTCAAAAGTTTAAATACGACTAAAATACAGTTACTTTTTTTTTTTTTTCCTTCAATTTTTTCTTCAAAAGTTTAAATACAACAAAATTACGGTTACTTACTTATTTATTTATTTTATCTTCAAAAGTTTAAATACGACTAAAATACGGTTACTTATTTATTGTTTTTCTTCAATTAATTATTGTAGCCCTACTTAGCAGTAACATTAATTCGATTTGCAAAACTATGAATACTGATTTTGTTAAATTTTAAAATTTTGTGACAGGCTTTATTACGTTTACCAATAAATGTGATCAAAACGTACGACATAATTTGTTTATTACAGAGTATATAAAGAGTATTGTTGTGGAAAATCTGAAATTATATATTCTTTTTTGACATTTTGGTTTAATAATGACAGTTTTTGTTTTAACACGTCTTTTAGAGTGTGTTTTAGAGTTTGTAGAGTCCAGTTAACGACTAAAATACGCTTTTTAATGTATTTTTTCTTCAATTAATTACTGTAGCCCTACTTGACAGTAACATAAATATCGATCAGGCGTTATAATTCCTTTGCAAAACTATGAATACTGATTTTCTGACAGACCCGAGTCCTTGAGCTGTTCAGTTTTATGGGCAACATTCAATTACCTCCTTGATGATTCACTGACTTTTTTTTCCTTATAACCACACACACACACACAGAGACAACCACCTCCTCACTGCAACAATGCTTTTCCAAAACAGCTTCCATAAATTCTGCTTCCAATTAGCTCGTTCCCAGGCTTTCTCGCGGTTGTAAATAGCAGGCGGCTGAGCTCACCTGGCTTCTCCAGCACGTCGTTGGTGTTTTTATGGGAAGTCTTGCCGTCCGTCTTGGGTGGGTACGGTACTCTGGTGGGGTTGTCTTTGGGTGAAATTGGGTCTGAGGGACCTGGAAGAGAAAGCAAAGTATTTTTATTTATTTATTTATTTATAAGGGAAGCCTCTTGAGCTGTAGCATCTCGTTTGTGAGGGGGTCCTAATACATTAACAAAAGCAGGATTTACAGAAGAGAAAGAAAAAACTAAACAGAACAAAAAACAAACAGACTAAGGCTACGTTCAGGCTGCAGGGCTTAACGCTCAATTCAGATTTTTTTGTGAAATCCGATGTTTTTGCAAGGTCGTTCACATTTCCAATTAAATGCGACTTGTATGTGACTCCAGTGTGAACGTTAAATGGCCCGAAAGTGTCCCACATGTGCAATGGAGGACATGATGACGTCAACCGCAGCGAGCGTGCTCTGTGTTTACGGAAGTTGTCCAAACATGGACGCAGCATCGAGCACCTGGAGATTTTAAAGTTCCTTTTGTACCGGAGCCAGAACATGAACAACTTACTTGTTTTAAGGAGGAGATTGAGAAGGACGAGGTTTTAAACCAGGACTAAAACCAGGTCTAAACCAGGACTAAAACCAGGTCTAAACCAGGACTAAACCAAGACTAAAACCAGGAATAAACCAGGACTAAACCCAGGTCTAAACTAGGTCTAAACCAAGACTAAACCAGGAATAAACCAGGACTAAACCAGGTCTAAAACACTTTTAAACCAAAACTAACCAGTCTAAAGTCTAACCAAGACTAAACCAGGAATAAACCAGACTAAACCAGGTCTAAACCAGTTTTAAACCAAGTCTAACCCAGTTCTAAACTAGGTCTAAACCAAGACTAAACCAGGACTAAACGAAAACTAAACCAGGACTAAACCAGGTCTGAACCAGGTCCAAACCAGGTCTAAACCAGGACTAAACCATGACTAAACCAAGACTAAAACCAGGTCTAAACCAGGACTAAATCACGCTGCATGGACCGTGTTTCCTCCTTTTCTATCAATAATATTTTTAATTTGTTTAAGTAAAGTCTGGGCTTTTTTATTGTCTTTTATCAGACAAAACATCTTATGTTACGATATCCTCATCTTTGTTTCTCTACAGCAAATCAAGTAATCCAAAGTATCCAGATTACTTTACTCACTTTAAGTAATTTAATGGATTCCGTTTGTAATCTGTAGGGGATTACATTTTAAAAGTCACCTTCCCAACACCGTTTGTAACACATGAATCTATGTGTAAGTTAAAATTTAATTGTGAGTCTAAAACAAGACCAAGATATTTAAATTGGTCAACTTTTACCACTGGGATTCCATCAATAAAGTGAATTACATAGTTGTTGCTATCACATTAAGGAAACCATTTTTGAATCAGAATAAAATCTGACTGCAGTATCCCAAATAAGTCTTTTTTTGTTTTATATACTTTTACTAAGCATGAGAATGGATTCGACAAATAACAATTGGGGATTTGGTTAAACTTCCCCAGAGAGAATGCGTCGGCGTTAACCACATCTTTTTACAATCGCTGCATGTTTTCATTGTTTTACGCTCGGGTTTTGTTTACGTTGCCTCAAAGTTCACAGCGCAACTTTACAGCCGTCTCACAATTGTTTATTGTTTCGGCTACTTCGCTAAACAGGGGATTTACAATAAGACAGGAAGCTTACGCGCAAGTCCTTTCTTGCTAAATTGCTTGAGATTTCTTTCAATCTGAAAAGTGGTGTCTGACCCGGGCTTTTCCTTCAGCGATTCAATTAATTTCTTCACCTTGAAAACCATTTAGCGAACGGAGCTATAGAAACAACCGTATAACCTTGGGAATTTCCCTCTGTATCATAATAACTGTAATTAATCGAGGCAACATTGACGAGCGCGGCGTTTACAGAGCTGAATGGTTTGCTTAGACATGTCTGTGTTAGTGAAAGGGCACTGAGGGAGCTAATAGCGAATGGCAATCTTGCGGTTTACCGTAATCTTGTGGTTTTACAGAAATGTTTAATGAAATGTAAAAAAATGAGTGGGAGTACAAGATGAATACCACGGATATTTTTAAATGTTTTAAATATCTGCAACAAATCGTAAAGTTTGCTGGTTTTTCCGGTAACTTTTCTGGTACAGGGCCTGTCAAATGCTTATTTTACTGCTTTGTCTGGAATGTTTCACAGTATGGCATTAATTAAACCTTTCTATCTCCATGGAAACCAAACCAGACCAAATTACAGGTCAGATTTGTGGAGAGTTGATCCGCTCAAGTTAGAATTTTTCTTGGCATTTTTGAGCTATAAAAGCACCTGTAATTGAATAAATGTAAGGTAGGTATCCATAGAAACAAGCAGGTGACAGACCTCAAACCAAAAAATTACATAGTACACCTTTAATGCCATAGATATTTTTGAAAGTAATAAATGTTTGCCAAATTGTAAATTTTGCTGTTATTTCTGGTAAAAAAGTGTCCAAAGTGGAAAATCTTTAAGGTGAATAGTGTCATTTTTCCTGTCAAATGTTTTTCTATTGCTTTATCTGGCATGTTTCACAGTATGGCATTAATTAAACCTTTCTATCTCCATGGAAACCAAACCAGACCAAGTTACAAATCAGATTTATGGAGAGCTCAAGTGAGACGCGCTCAAGTCAGAATTTTTCTAGGCATTTTTGAGCTATAAAAGCACCTGTAATTGAATAAATGTAAGGCAGGTATCCATAGAAACAAGCAAGTGACCAAAAAATTACATAGTACACCTTTAATACCATAGATATTTTTGAAAGTAAGAAATGTTTGTAATATCTGTAACCTCCAAATCATAAATGTTGCCGTTATTTCCAGTAATAAAGTGTCGAAAATGGAAAATCTTCATGGCTTTGTCTGGAATGTTTCACAGTATAGTATTAATTAAACCTTTCTATCTCCATGGAAACCAAACCAGATCAAGTTACAGGTCAGATTTATGAAGAGGCGACACCGCTCACAGTCAGAATACATGTTTTCTAAGCATTTTTGAGCTATAAAAGCACCTGTAATTGAATAAATGTAAAGGCAGGTATCCATAGAAACAAGAAAGTGACCAAAAAATTACATAATACACCTTTAATGCCATAGATATTTTTGGAAATAATAAATGTTTGTAATATCTGTAACTGCCAAATCATAAATTTTGCTGTTATTTCCGGTAATAAAGTGTCAAAAGTGGAAAATCTTCATGGCTTTGTCTGGAATGTTTCATAGTATATAGCAGTATAGTATTAATTAAACCTTTCTATCTCCATGGAAACCAAACCAGATCAAGTTACAGGTCAGATTTATGGAGAAGCGACCCCACTCAAAGTCAGAATGCCTGTTTTTCTTGGCATTTTTGAGCTATAAAAGCACCTGTAATTGAATAAACGTAAGGCAGGTATCCATAGAAACAAGGAGGTGTTGGACCCCAAACCAAAAAATTACATAATACACCTTTAATACAATAGATATTTTTGAAAATAATAAATGTTTGTAATATCTGTAACTGCCAAATCATAAATTTTGCTGTTATTTCCGGTAATAAAGTGTCAAAAGTGGAAAATCTTTAAGGTGAATAGTGTAACTTTTCCTGTCAAATGCTTTTCTATTGCTTTGTCTGGAATGTTTCACAGTATTAATTAATCCTTTCTATCTCCATGGAGACCAAACCAGGCCAAGTTACAGGTCAGATTTATGGAGAGGCGACTCCGCTCATGGTCAGTATAAATGTTTTTCTAGGCATTTTTGAGCTATAAATCCACCTGTCACTTAATAAATGTCAAGTAGGTATTAGGGTTCATGATTTACTCAAGTTTTTGAAATATTTTTGAAAATCAATCTGTAACTAGTATCAGTTTTTTACACTTGCCAAAGTAAACTTCCGTGAGTAATTTCATGAAATTCTCTTGATGTTTACTGGGTCCACCAAGCCTCTGGAGTTTAGTTCCTGCAGAATCTTTAAATCTGAGCTGAAAAATCTGTTTTTCTTTAATAACATCAAAAATAATTAATTTAGCCCAATAGTACCAATGGAAGTTGAATATAAATATGGAGATTGCGGATCATTTTGTACCAGATTTGTGTCTGTATCATCATTAGTTTCTGAGATATGGCAAAAGTGTCATTTCTTGAATAAGCAATATTATTAAAAAATACTATAATAATAACAAAAAATATTATATATAAAAAAAAAAAAACATTATTTTTAAAGTTATTTGAGAACATAATGATTTTTCTGACAGAGCCTCATGGACACCGTTAGGATGGAACTTAACAGTCTTGGTGGACCCTGTAGATTTTATTCAATTGAGCAAATAATATTCCAAAAATTTTCTTTTATTTGGTTTTGTCACATTTTAAAATTGGGTACAAGTTGAATTTCTGACATTGGGGCAAATGATGCATCCTGGTAGAAACATAGAAACACAGAAACAAGCAGGTGATAGACCCCAAACCAGAAAGTTACATAGCGCACCTTTAATGCCACAGCTATTTTTGGACATAATTCTGTTTGTGAAGTTTGTAATTGCCAAATCATAAAGTCTGCGGTTATTTCCGATGATATAATAACACCGAAAGTGGAAAAACTCTTAAAATAAACGTGCTAATTTTGTACTTTGAAAGGCGTGGGATCTCGGTACTAATTTGATACTTAAAATATTTACATCTTCACTCAAATGCCAACGGTTCTGGATTAAAACCGAGCACTATACATCAACCTTGGCTCCTACCGTTTTATTGCTCTGTATTTGTGCACGATCCCGGGCATTCGAAGCACATTTCCACCGCACAAGTTTTCGGCCGAGGGAGCATGCACAGCAGATGCTCGGTGTGTGCGTGCGGCCCCTTCTAATGTCTATGTGTGTGTGTGCAATGGGCCTTCCGCTACATTACTCCTGGATCTGGATCTCGGCCCCTCGGAGCCCCAGGTGTCATGGAGACGATGGAGCTGTTCGCGGTGCGGCCTCCCCTGACCTTATTAGGGCATGCGCGGAGCTTCGAGGGGGAAGGAACCGGGGCCCCCTTCTGGTAGGTACCCGGAGGCGTTGTAAATTCAATAACGCTCGTATACGGTACTCACTTTGCCCCACTTTCATGACGATCTTCATGGACTTGGTCTTGCAAACGCCGCCGTCCTGGTTGTCGATGCCCTCCATGGTGCCGTTAGATGTAGCTGGAGGAAATAAAGGAAAATATGAGGTTAGTTTTAGCAAATTTGAAAGAGGAAATCTGAACTTTTGAAGGAATGTGCCAGGAAGTTATAACGTTTACATGAAATTTAATATATACAAGGAAAAACAGCACATTTTGGTAGCTATGTAAATGTATTTTGTTTGATTTTTGTCTCCTAAATGTTACACCAGAGTATTTTTTTATCTTGGTTTTTGTTCTGTTTTAAAATTGTGAACATTTAAAACATATTTTAGTTAAACCAGGTCTGAACCAGGACTAAACCAGGACTGAAATATGACAAAAATAGAATTGAACCAGGACTAAACCAGGACTAAACCAGGAATGAACCAGAATTGAAACACAACAAAACTAGGACTGAATGAGGACTGAACCAGGACTAAACCAGGAATACATTAGGACTGAAACACAACATAACCAGGACTATACCAGGACTGAACCAGGAATGAACCAGGACTGAACCAGGACTGAAACACGACAAAACTAGGACTGAACTAGGACCAAACCAGAATTAAACCAGCATTAAAACAGGGTTGAACCAGTACTAAATCAGGACTGGAAAAGAGGACTGAACCAGGACTGAAACAGGACTGAAGAAGAACTGAACAAGGATTAAACCAGGACTAAATCAGGACTGAAAAAAGATAAAACTAGGACTGAACCAAGACTAAACCAGGACTGAAACACAACAAAACCAGGACTGAACCACGACTAAACCAGGAATAAAACAAGACTGAAACATAAAAAAAATAGGACTGAATCAGGACTAAATCAGGACTAAACCAAGCCTAAATTAGGACTAAAACACAACAAAACTAGGACTGACCCAGGACTAAATCAGGAATAGAACAGGACTAAACCACAACAAAATTAGGACTGAACCAGGACTGAAGCAGGATTAAACCAGGACTGAGTTAGGACAAAAAGAGGACTGAACCAGGACTGAAACAGCTTTTTGAAATTACTCAATCCTTACACTAACATTGATCATTTAATATAATTCCTTTACAAACCCGTACACTTAATCCCCTCATGTTGAACCCTCGCGTTTACTTCCTTCCTTTTACCCAGGAAGGACATGACTCATCTACTCGTTCACAACAACACAATTCATCCCGTCGTCACCTCCGCCACCCGCCACCGGAGGAGCACTTCCGTCAAAAAAAGTCAATTATCTTGAGTAATCGTGACCGTAATGTCCCTTAACTGCGCCGATGGATCTTTGTGGAGAAAGCAGTTAAAGGGGAAAGAGGATTCGAAGACAGCAGCCATGTTGGCACGCCGCAGGTAAAACTGTCAGATCATCTTATATTAGCGCTAACTACACTCCCGAGACGGATCACCGGTTATTAAAAACACGGTTAAGGATTTTAAAAGGCTTCGAGGTAAGGAGAAAACTGACAAAAGCGTAAACCCGCCTCGAAAAATGGACGCTTTCCAGGAGGGAGGGAGTCAAATAGAAGTGATGAATGGCTCAAATAAAACGCTATTTGAAGATCTGAGCAAGAACGCAAGCATGTGCTCTAAATACTAAAATCGGGAGACGGTTTTGGCAGATGCCGGGAGTCGGATCTGCGGAGGAGGAGGAGGAGGAGGAGCGCGACGTCGTCCCGCTTGTGACAGGGAGGAACAGCTCAGCCCCTGTTAGCAGATGTGTATTAAGCCGAAGCTGCACTTTCGGTAAATAAACAGATGTAGACAAGAACTTGAAATCGACCCAAGGGGAAAGGACTCGACTGTGAATCAAAGCGCTGTTATTGTTACCAGAATCTAGTGGCCATCTGTGGTATCGCAAGTCACTGCTGTCAATTAGCCTCCTAGTGTAATTCCCAAAGTTATTTATTGAAGAGTTTGGGGGGGAAAATGAAAAAGAAATTGATGAAGACGATGTAGAGACAATGAAACCTAGAATACTAATACTATTGCTACTACTACTAATAATAATACTAACAGGCCTGTTGACAAAATTTTTAGTCTCACAGGGGCCATCCTCTAAAATAAATTAATGGTTAGATCAGGGGTGTCAAACATACGGCCCAGGGACCAGATCCGTCCCTCCAAGACCTTTAATCTGGCCCTCGGCTGATTTCCTACTAAAATATTTTAATTATACTTTCTATTAAAATACTTGTAACTGTCTGCGCCGCTTAGCAGAGCAGTGTCAGAAATATATTTGTATACAAGTTACTGTTAAAACATTCTGTTGAAATTGCATTTTTCTTAAAGTTTCAGGTTGTTCATAATATTATATTGAATTAAAATAGATTTGCGTTTCTCTGCACAAATATTTGAACTTTCTTATCCGGCCCCGCTGGGTTGGTAGTAGGTTGGATACGGCCCCCGGACCAAAATGAGTTTGACACTCCTGGGTTAGGTATCATTAAGAAGTTGAATACACACCTCGATATTTAGGCCACGATACGATACATACCTCGATACAGTGCACTTTTGGTACAATATGATATATTTCAAATCAATTCGATACGGTTCAATAAAAAATAACGTCTAAATCATGGCTGTGATACTAAAAGTTTTTGTTAAACCATTTTTCTTTTGCAGAGTTAATAGGAAACACGCCAATTTTAATCATCAAAACAGTGAAAATGTCAAATTTGTTGCATAAATGTGTTTCCTTCCACTGAACAAGCAACAAAACCGTAGCACTGTAACAAAATACTTCAGTAAAATATACCAAAAAATACTCTTGCAGATATATCAATACAGCAGGCCCTGATATCAATACAGTATCATGACATGCTTAAGATGCTGGGGCCAAATGGCAAGGTAACTAGGGGTATGCAAAAATATTGAAATATCAATATACTGTATCGTTTAATGTGATGATACAGTATGGATATCATGGGCTGCTGTATCGATATATCGGCAAGAGTATTTTTTGGTATGTTTTACTAAATTATTTTGTTACGGAGCTACTGTTTTGTTGCTTGTTTAGAGGAAGGAAACTTATTCATGCAACACATTTGACATTTTCACTGTTTTGATGATTAAAATGTTGAACTTTGCACAAGAAATGGTTTAACAAAGACTTTTAGTATCACAGCCATGATTTAGCCTTTATTTTTAATGAACCGTATCGAATCGATTTGAAATATGCAAGTGAAAATAGAGTAAGTGAGTAAGTGTAAGTGAAATAATAATAATAATGATCGGGTGCTCTTCGATCCAACTGGGCGAATGACTTACTGGGAGAAAAAACAAGGGAGATCCGAGGCACTCCGATATATTTTGCTTTTATTTTACGTTTTTATTACAAAGTCAGAAGCGTTTGACATGAAATAAAATCATAGCAAAGTATATCGGCGCGCCTCGGATCTTCCTTTTTTCATCCTGTAAGTCGATTTGAAATATATCGTGTCAAGTCGAAAGTGCGCCGGATCGAGATATGTATCGTATCGGCAATTTCTTAAAGATATCCCGCCCTACAAATAACCAATCTTAACCTATTCTACTTCAAAAATGGACGTTAATATTTAAAGATGTGCACAAGTAAACACACATAATTTGCTCTTCTTCGAACCAAATTATTGATGAAGTAAAGACAGTTCCAGTAAATATACCAACTACTACTAGACTACAAGGCAAAGGACACGAAATTCTTCTGAAACTTATCAAAGCCTTCCCTTGTTTGCTTGTTTGGGCCTCGCTAGCCAACACCGAAGCCACTAAGCCATGCCAGCCCCAGTCTAGGGACAATAACCAACCCTTTGATTTGATAAAAGAGCTCGCCCCGTGTGTAGAACAAATGACAGAGTACATAAAAGCTATATTTGTTGTGGCCGGCGTCTAGTGGCCATCAGCGGTAATAGACTTCAGCGCTGACCGGAATAACAAGGGCCTTTGATTTGATAAATTGCGTCTCTGTGCTGTGTGCGCCACGTCTCGGTGCGGGCTAGAGGCCAAAGCTCAATCAAGCTTTCGAAGCCGAAAGCTCCGAAAGCTCATTAGCTGCTCCGTGGTGCTCCGTGCTGCCCCCCTCAGGTCATCTGGAGTAATTGCAATAGCGGGATAGGCAAAAATGTCCACAGAAATAGTTATAAACACATTATAGCTGCTCTGTGACGCTCCGTGCTGCCCCCTTCAGGCCGTCTGGAGTAATTGCAACAGTGGGGATAGGCAAGAAATGTCCACAGAAATAGTTATAACCAAATTACAGCTGCTCAGTGCTGCCCTCCTCAGGCCGTCTGGAGTAATTGCAACAGTGGGATAAAGTAAATGCAAACGTAAATACTTCATAAACATATTAGTAGGAAAGTTATGTATAATTTAGTGTTGTTACAATACAAAAAATTCTAAAGTGATCATTTCAGTAGCTATTTTTTAAGATAATAATGTAATTTTTTTGTTTTAGTGGCAATTCGCATCAGATTTTTAATACTTTTGACAAGCCTAATCCAATTAACATTATTTTTTTTTACAGCAAAATGAATATTAGGAGTGTTCAAAAATTTAAATATCGATATATCGCATCGTTTAATGTGATATGGGCTGCTGTATTGATATATCGACAAGAGTATATACGTGGCTTTTACTTATCCCACTGTTCCACTTACTCCAGACAGCGCCTAATTTGTAATTTTCAGGACGAAATATTTTAGTATTTAGTTTCAGTAGTTTTGCTGTCGATTAGTATCAGATTTTTGATAGTTTCGACAAGCCTAATCCAATTAACATTATTTTTAACAGCAAAATGAATATTAGGGGTGTGCAAAAATATCAAAATATCGATATATTGTATTGGTTAATGTGATGTTACAGTATAAATATCATGGGCTGCTGTAATGATATATCACCAAGAGTATTTTTTTGTATATTTTACTAAATTATTTTGTTACAGCACTACAGTTTTGTTGCTTGACATCGATATTTTCACTGTTTTTAAGATTAAAACTGGCATGTTGTGGTGGTTTAACAAAGACTTTTAGTATCACAGCCATGATTTAGCCTTTATTTTTATTGAACCGT